GCCCTTAGCTGTTTTGTTGTTTGGTTTTGTTTCAGAGGTGGGTTAAATGAGAAGTTATGGTTAGACCATCAGAAGCAGCGTGTTTTATGTTGATTGCAACAGCATCAAACCCAGAATCTAAAAGTGTTTTATCTGTCCCTAACTCATGGCAGGTAACCATGGCAATCATAGCGCTTCCAACAGCTCCTGGAAAATGTTTGAAACATCTTAAGTGAGCTGTCCCATTAATAATGAAGAATATCAGTGTTTTGCCATCTGTTACATACTAACAGTGTATATAAAAGACCAGCAGTTGTGTGAAACAATTTAAACTGCAAGTTGGGATGAACTTGTCTTGCAATGAAGAACTGCAAAACAGTGTAACATAAAATATGGTACCTCTAGACTCTACTTCTTAGTTTTATAGCTTGACATTGCCTTCTAATATCTGAGAGTCTACAAGATTTCCATTATCTATGTTACAATTTTTAGAGATTTGTAATTTGATATTAGCATTTTGCTGTGGGCAGGAGAAACTTGGCATATTGTCAGTCAAACAGAGTTTCATAAAATATTTTGGACAGCATGAATTTCAAATTACAAGTATTTTCCCAGATGTGTTCTGTAACTGCTTCTGTAATCTGGAGCAGTTTTGCTTGTTAACTGAAATTTTGTGGACTCTCAATCAAAAGTGTGTGCTCTTCAACTGTGGGCTAGGAAATAACTTTCACAGTAGTGAGTGCAGAAACAGTGGTAGCTTTATTTTTCAGAAAATATGCCTAAAAATTGAAGGTGAATACTGATATGTTAAGTTTACTCTGCATAAATTGGTGGTAAATGTGACCAACATGGCCTAGAGATGTATATCAGAACCTGGGCATATTTTCCTATAACAGAGTTCCTCTCTATATGGTCCCTTTTCTACTAACAGGGAAAGAGATTCTTAGTCAAATAGGGAGGTCAAATATAACTTGCAAATAAAAAGAAGCATTTATGAGGCAAGGAAGAGATCTTCACTTTGTTTCAGAACTCAACTGGTAAATGACTGGCTGAATGATTCCAGACAAGTTCTTGTTAGAGACAAGGCTTGCTGTTTATTCACCTTACCCACTCCATTTCTTCTATACATTTTTAGTTTCAGGATTTGCAATAATACCCATTTGTATTTTTGAGAGCAGGCCTTCTTTTTAACCATGTAAACAGGATCTCTCTTCAGTGAAATCTTAAAAGTTTGTGTTTATCTAAGTAGTGTTACTTTATCTTTCTGTCTATGTGTTTGTTTTTCCAAGAATGAAACCATATAGTCTAACCTTTAATAATGTGAAAAGGTAAGGTTATATGTATTTGTAATTTAACAAAATTACTTTGTCCTCAAAGTACATTCAAATCAAGTGTACATAAATGTGTATGTTAAATCTGTAAATTAAATCTTAGGGAAAGAGCTTTGCTGTTTTCTATGTGAGTAGATATGCAAGTGTAGACTTGTATTGACAGATACAATCCCATACAGTCACCAAAGACATGGACTGAAAATATGGAGCAGGTTTCACTGATACAAATACAAACCAAAATATTTCACTTTACTTTTTGCTTGTAAATAAGAATAGGAGTTTGTTTACGAGTTGGAATATAAAATACTAACTAGATTTCTGCTGTAGATAATTGGGCCCAATGAAAAGAGGGTAACAGTTACCTTTTTATTATTTGAGACTGAAAAAATTGACCAGGCTTTGAGCCAATTGTGTTTTTCTGTTACCAGTTGTTCTGTTTACTATATTGTGACAAAAACTCTTTATTACTGCAACAGCTTGGCAGTAACAACTGCCTGGTAAAATCATTTCTCTGAGTACTCAACCTGCTGTTGCAAAATGCACACTTAATGATAAAGTGTAGACCCACAACTGAATCATTTTGACCTTGGTTTACATTACTTCTGGTGAGGACAATGGGCCTTAGTACAGAGTACAGAATTTCATGGAATATTGCGTGGTGTTTGTTTTAGAGATCAAATTTATGTTAGGCTAACAGAACATTTTTAACTGTTTTCAGGCTGAGTTTAATTTCTGAGATGTTCTGCCTTTCGCTTGAATAAATGGCAGAAAAATAGCTATATTATAAGCACTAATTTAATCAGCTGTAAACAGCAAAAAATGCGTTTCCTAAGCATGTTCAGGCAGACTTAATTAGAAAACTCCTTTGTGCCATTATTATCTATAGTCAAGGAGATCCTTTACAATAACATAAGGGATAGAAAGTACCTACTTTCAGCATTTTGTTCCCATGTCTATAGCAAAGAGATCCTGCCTGTGAAAGATGTTTTTATCCAAATACATGTGCAGTACAGAAGTCATACTAAGGGAATGCAGCTTCTCTTAAGACCAGGTTTTAACAGAGTTGAAATTACTTCACTGAAAATACTGTCATTGAGGATTTGCGACCAAGCAAACTTAAGAACTGAAAAAGAGCTGATGAATGTAGTACTTAAAAAAAATGGAGATGTTCTTGTGGGTTTGAAAATGTCATTGACAGAAAAGATGAAAGTACAATAAAGGAAGTGCAGTGGAGGTGAGGCCATTCTTTGGAATGGCTCAAAGCTGAGGCTGGGTCTGCACTGGGAACTGGCTTGTAGAGCAAAGCAGTGCTTCTTCCTCTGTTATACAGTCTAGGACTGTATAATATAATATTATTATTTGTATATAGGACATTATAATGTATATGGGACCTGGGGAGAGGATTACTCCACCACTGAAATGGGCTCATGTGCCAAACATCACCACTGCTCAAGTGATTAAAGCTTTCAGAACCAAAGCTGTTCCACAGACTTCTTCTTCCTGGACATCTCCTTTCTTGTCCTCTGCCTCACACAGCTGGTGGTAGCAAATTAGTGTCCCTACCAAGGGGATGGTGTGATAATGTAAATCCTTTGAGAGAAAAGATGGGAATACAAGGCCATTCCTTGAGCCTACTCGAAGAATCCAGTAGGAACAAAAATCTTAGTGAAAAGAAGAAAAATAGTAACACAGATGTTAATTAGTACTGAACAGCACTTTTATTTATTATTACCATTCCATTTTATGATAATATTATGTGTCACCATGTATTAGAATTTTTGCTTTAATGTTCCCAACAGCTTGTCTGGACTTCTGTTGCACACATTTGTCCAGACTCCCTCTGTGCAGGGGCACAGAACAAGCTGGTGCTCAGTTCTGTTCGAGCAGTCACTGTCCTCGCTGGGGGAGGACGGGCTGAGGGACTCTGCAGAGTTGCTTTGCACGAACTTTCAACAGCACAGCTTTGGTTTTTTAGTAAAGCAGGAGTTTCCAAGCGTTTTCAGACTTCATTTCTTCGTTTCATCAGTAAATCAATTAGCACTAGAATCAAATCACTTGCCACACGGTTTGTGTGTGGCGTGTGTAGGTTGCTGAAAAACAATGTGACTGATAAAAAAGAATTAGCAAGGCACATAATACATAGGGGGGTTTTATTTTCACTCAGATCCTGATTATTTAACGTGAAACTGGAATGTTGAAACAGGACTGGACATCTGTATAAGTTCATATAGGTAGAAAACAAAGTAAAATGGGAATATTTTTGAATTTTGTGAACTTAACATAAGCACTACCTAAGATTTTGAAGCCTGTGAGTATGTATGTCTTCAGCAATTTCTTATATCTTATTCTATTATGTCCCTACTATTATGTCTAATTTCTTATTCTTAAAAATATTCCTGTTCCTGGTAACTTCTAATGAGAGACAAGAGCAGAACAAAATGTCAGTGAATGTTCTAGGAACTCTACATCAGTCCTCCTGAATTCCAAGGAGCATCCCTGCTTTGATGATGTCAGTCTGCTCTGTCTAAGGAAACAATAATCTCCAGATTTGCATCCCATGCATGGCAGCATGGTCTGAGCCTTCTCCATACAATGAATTTATTCAGTGTTGTCAAATGTATTTATGGTGTTTTGTTGATGGGTTGTCTTTTTTATTTATTTTTTTTTCAAGAAACAAGAATTTGTTTCAATGTCTTCTCTTATTGAGATAAATCATACAGGTTGGATAGGCACATCTTCTAGATAATAGTCACCTTTGGGAGCTGTAATTGTCTAATAATAGGTTTGACTTCGTGCCTAAAGAACATACTGTGACATTTAAACCAGGTGATCAGAGCCTGCATTCCTGAGATAGAGCATAAACCATCCAGCACCTGATGTCACTGTAAACCTGTTACAGTTTTATAAGTTAGTGGGAAATGTGTCACCTTTATATCCCAGCTCACTGTTGGGATCCCTCACAGGGAAAAAGTTTAAACTAGGTTTGAGTTACAGGGTGCATGACATTTTGATTTTTAGACTTTTAAGTCCTTCAGCAGAATGTGGAGTTCATAGAATTATTCTGTTTATTTGGGCCAATGTAGTATAAAATCCTGGCATCTAAAATGCTATAGAAACTTCAGTAAAACATTTTAATGAGAGTTATGATTGTAATATTTAAAAAAGCAATCATATAAACTCCATCACAAAATATTAATTTATTAACAATAATAAAAGTGCTGGAGAATTATTCATCCATTCTAGAGTTTGTGCACCCAACAACTGAAAAGTATGAGTTGTGAGGAAGTTGTGGGAGTAAGTCAGCATTTCCTCCTGCAGAGACTGGTAATTCTGGATCTCAAAAAATGGCATCAATTGTTGTGCCACTGCCTCTGTGCTGCTGCTCTGCACTGCCCGTTGAGATTGCAGTGGTTTATGGTCCACAGGAGACAGGTTCTGCCAGGGAGAGGATTCAGCACCCTGGCAGTGAACATTTTTGTGAAACAGGTTTTTATTAGGATTCATGATTTTCCTTTATTTCTGAGGACAGAGTCGAGGGTTTTTTGCATCTTGCCAACATACTTATATAGATATAATAAAGCGACATCATCAAAAGATGAATTTTGATGCTTATTGGGACTGTTTAGTTACATTATAGAATTGAAAAAGATGTTCTTTGTGCCATTTATGTTTTTTCCTCTCTATTTTTAGGATGCAAAGTTTGTAGAAGAGCGACGCAAGCAGCTACAAAATTACCTAAGGAACGTAATGAACAAAATTATTCAAACTGTGCCAGAATTCACAGCCAATCCCAAAAAAGAGACACTTATTCAGCTGATGCCCTTTTTTGTGTAAGTATCTGTCAATTACTCAAGAAAATATTAAGCTTTTTTCATCACAAATAATTTAAAATATAATGCCAACATCTCCAAACTCTTTAAAACTGCGGGGTTTTTTTAAATAGAAGTCTTCTGTTCTAATTGTAAGTGCTTTTTTATATTTAAAGGAATATATGGCATGCAGAGTATTTTTTTGTTTATTTAAATGGTGACTTTGAATAAAAATCCCAGTGTAAAGCTTTCAGAAATATCTAAGTGACTTCAAAACCTGCATCCACCTGCACTCTTCAAACACTAGGTGTCTTCATTTTCTTTTCTTTGGTCTTTTTTTAGTGTTGTTTTGCTTCTGTTTGTGTGGGCTTTGTATTGGTTTTAAATTTATTTTGGGGGATGAGGGTAGAGTACTATTAAGGTACTTACTGACCAAATTAAAAATTCAAGTTGTTGAACTCTTTCTAGCTGAATTTTGCAATCTGCTGACTCATGTTCTGATTTCATTAATGTTAAAGTTGACTATGTCCAGATATAGTTTAACACAGTCATTTGTTAAGAATCTCAAAAGAAACGCTTCGATACACAATCACACAAGGGGTATAATCTGGTACAATCTTCCCTTTTTGCTTTAAATATCGTTCTTTATGTATTTGTAAATGATATTTAGAACTATTTAAGAAATAATATTAATGAAAATTTGTTTTTGTAAGTGGTGTTAAATTTCATAATATTTTGGTTTAATAGTATTTTACTATACACATGAGCTCTCTGTAAACACATACATAAGAACAGGAGGGATCTTTGGCAACAAGCATCACAGTTTTTTGCATTTGGCAGTTTGATAATTCTCAACACATTGCACGAAGCAATGCACTAGAGTGGATTCAAGAATATTCTGTGATATGGCAAAGAGGTTCTGTTTGTACCTGTGAATTATTTCCTTAGAATTTTTTCTCATATAGTAGATGTTTCAGCATTCTCTCTGGGAATACTAGTGGGATTCTGGAAAAATTAAGCTGTTGAGCAAAATAACTATATACCTCATCTACAGCAGCAGACAAAATGGCTTTTTAATGCATTTTTCTACTGAGAGATCAGACTCTTCTTCTGCAGCTAGAGCAGCAATATTAAATTAATACAGAGAACTTTTCTAAGATGTGCTCCTTCTGTCATTGTCTGAAAGTATCATCATTTCTAGGCTATTATTTGAACTTTGTCCTTTATTTTCTGCCATGACCTGGCACTGTTGGTGATTTAGAAAAGACATCCAAAAGAAAATGCATTTCAGTTCCACTTCATATTGCCAACTTCTCCAGTATTGTCCTTCCTTAATGGATTTTGAGCTTCATCAACAGGAGATCTTGAACATGTTGGACTCTGAAGTGTATATTACATTAACCAGTTGTAACCTTTGTACCATGCCTACCATTCTTCTGTTAGTTTTAATAGTATTTTGTTTAATAGTACTTTACTATGAAACACTGTAAATACATATAATAATACTGGTATATTTAATTTGTCCTTTGCAGCACAAATGTATGTACAGTTGATAGAATTTTTATCAATGAAAGAGTAGTTACAAAACACTGAGATATTAGTCATAGGACTGTGCTGTAGGGAATAGTGATACCTCAGTCTGGGGGGAAGATTACAGTCTTAATATGCATAAAAAGTCTCTAGGGCATTAGATCTGTCTATTAGGAAGCAATGAAATATAAAATATAAAAATAATTATCTGGTCTTAAAGAGTTTCTTCTGACTGCAAAATTAAATGACCACAATTCAGTGTGAAAATGAAAAATCCCATAAAGGTTATGTCTGATTAGGCTTCCTATAGATAGAAATTACAGGGTCAGTTTTAATTAATCACTTTTAAGATCTGGTTTTGGTCTTAGAATATGATTATGATGAGCAGAACATAAGATGAATGTCTCTAAGACTGAATCCACTGATAATTTAATGCTAGAATGAATATTGCTGAACATTTTTGTTGTGAGGTTGTTCCTTTGGGGATTTCTCCCTTCCAAGTGCAGTGATTCTGTACAATCAGGCACAGATCTGATGAGGCAAAACATTTTAATTGATCTGTCTGAAATAGCCTGCCACTGTTATAAAGGATGAAATTGCTTTTATTTTGAAACTCAGTTAACAGTTTGCAGTACAATAACATGAATCAGTTTGCTGGCATTTCTTTTCATTATTGTATCAAATGCTGGTGGTTAATCATGGAAATGTAATTTGTTTTGAATCTTAATGCTGTGAACTGTCATTAATGTGCTCTTTCTTTCCTCAGTCTTTATTGCTTATAATCTCAGTTTGTATATTTTTCAGTTTTAATACTTTATTAGCTCAATCACAGGATTGGTCAAAGATTTTCCCTTATAGTCCACTTTCATGTCTTAATGTAAAAAATAGATTCTGGCTCTGCTAATTTGTGTGTTTACATGCTGAATGACTAATTCTTTGTAATAATAAAACCAACATCACAGGATAAATTTTCCAGTCCATGTGGAGCAAAACCTAAATCAAGATTTGGCACTGCTGAATTAGGTTGCTACATCTGCTAGCTGGTGAAGGCCTGTCTGTTAATACTTACTTAAATTAACATTTATTTGCACTCGTGATTGGTACATTATGGATAAACAAAACTTGTTATAACAAGTACACTTGTGTTTTAATCACATTTTTATCAATATGAAAAATATCACACACCTTAGCTCTTTGTAAATACATACATAAGAACAAGAGGGATCTTTGGCAACGAGCATCACAATTCTTTGGCCCATATAATTGAGTCTTCAACATAAATCACCACCATAGGCTATATGATTTCAAGTAGGTAAAAAGCTAAAAGCTGTAAACACATGGGAAAAGAATCTCACAAATGTTGTGATGGTCCATTTTTCTATCTCTGGTTTCTGTATCAATTGCCCTCATTTTTTAAAAGATAAAGATTTCAGCCTGATGTGGGGATTGGCTTAGTGATCTCCAGAGGTGCCTTCCAACCTCAAAGAGTCTGTAAATCTATAATTCTCCAAAATCTTGACCTGCAATCTTAACCTGAGTTGTGTGCTACATAAACCCTGCACAAAGAAATGTTGGCCAAATATACAGCTGGTCACAGAATGTTCTGCGTTAACAAAAAAAGTCTAAACAGTGGGAAACTACTAAAGTACATACTGCAATTTGTGGTTCTGCAGTGCTGATCAAATAAGAATAGTGCCACTTTACTGGTTCTTTTGCATTGGCCAAATGTTTGGATTAAAATATATGCAAGAATGGTATAAACACAGTTTTGTGAATATTTTCACAGATGACTGTGCTGAGTACTTCTTTATCTCATATTCTAGGCCACAGCTACAAGTTACAACAATTTCTAAATAACAATTACATGTTCTGCTGAGCTGCAGAACTGGACATTTATTCTCTTGTGGTAGCTGCTCAAAAATAGGCTCTAAGAAAAGCAGAGAATCTGCTCAGTAAATCATCAGCAGGTTCTGCTGTCTGCGGGATGTATTTGAACACCAAAGGAGTCATCAGTTCTCCAGGATGATTAGAGGACTGTAATTTTCTAAAAAATATGTTGTCTTCATTTCCCTGGGTGACATTACTGGCAGCATATTTGTTAGCAGAAGTTGTGTTCTTACGTGTTTTGTGTCTGATGTCTTTGAGTCACGAAGTTAAATCGAAGTGAAAAAAAAAATAATCAAAATTTCTACCTCTTTCTCATTTTCTAAAATACTTCTCCCCTCCTGGAAGGTAAAGTCATGAGAAATGTGATAGAGAGACAGAGGTGCCACCTGACAGGCAAACTCCAGTGCCAACCAATAAGTCATTCAAAAAAAATGTTGTCCTGGGAATACTCCTCTTAGATTTATTTAGCACTGAGCAATGTGTAAAGCCAAGTATCTGCTTTTGGTTTTGCAGACAACAAAGTGAAACTATTTTGGAAGAATAGATCATTGTTCTTAATGGGTTCAAGAACTTGATGTGGATTGGATTTGAGGTTTTTTCTTATCATCTCTATTTCAGTTGCACTCATCAGTGTGTCATTGAGAACATTTAAATGTGTATATTAAAGGTATGAGAGGTAAAAAGAACATTAAATTCTGTACAATACCATTGCTAGTATTATAATCAAGTATAAAGGAAATAAATCTTTTAGGAAAATTACTGTGAGGTGCCTGTGGATGTTGTATCTCTGAATCATTTTAAAGACATTGGCAATGGACCCTTTCAAAGTTAGTGTTGGGATGTTTTAGAGGGATGAAACTATTTACTCAGACCTAAAGCTAAGTACAGATTAGTGTATCAGTTCTGTTCCATCCAATAGCTTCATTTCTCCATGAGGGATAGGTCATGTACAGCAGATGTGGCACTGTTTTAGTGTAAAGAATGAACTAAAACCTCCTCACAGAAACATCTGTAGAGTATTATTTTAAATAAGATCTTTGAATACATAGACATGAATATATTTACATATGGAACCAGAGGTGCCAGGTGTTCTGCTGGTTTTGCACCTTCAGGTAAACAATGAGATGAAAAGCAAACAAGCAACCCCTGAAATACTGTAAAACAATACTGCTGCAAAGGAAGGAAGTTTTAAATAGAATTCTGAATATCTTAATTTCTCAAAACTGAGTTGGTGATGGCACTTCTTCCAGTGCTCAGGGTACATATCTGTGCCTTCTCCTGGGGTAAATGGCAGCATTCAGCTGATGAGTCCCAAAGTGCTGTGGCCAGTGGCCAGATTTGTGCTGGATTGCATCCTCTGAAGTGGCAGCTTGTGTTATCAACTTGGCACTGAATGACTTCAGTACCTCATCAAATTTACATCAACAAACTGGAAATAGCATTTGCTTATGTGTGGGACTTTTAATTAGTAAAGCACCTCCTAATGCCTGAAACATGCTAATGAAACCAATTTATTGCTATGTTAATTGATTGATCTACTTATAAAACTATGTAGAGACATTACACAATATTTATCTTTCAATAGAACTGTGTTGCCAAGCACT